GTATCTTTGTTTACTTCGACAAATCTATCAAATAATAAACCCATTAACGTCTAAATGCACAAAATTTTTAATCAAATTTTAATTCATGATATTTATTTAAAAAAATGGTTGAGCCACCACGGTTTATTTCATTTTATTACACTGCACAAGCAGCACGGTATATTCCCTGAATATCCGTTGAATACCACAGTATCTTCTAGGAAAATCAAAATGTCCGCATCATGGGAATATTCCATAGTGACATTCAGGGCATATTCCAGTGACATTGTGGGAATATTTCTCGGTGACATTCATGGAATATTCCTGTGACATTAAGGGGATATTCACGTGATATTGTGGAAATATTCCAGTGATATTGAGGAAATATTCCACGGTTACATTGAATTTTTTTTTAAAATGTGTTTTTAATCTTCCTGCTTATTCAAATAACAATTTATAACATATTTCTATTATTTCAACACTTAAAAAAAATTCAATATAACCGTGGAATATTCCCTCAATATCACTGGAATATTCCTTTAATATTACCCTCAATGTCACTGGAATATACCCTGAATGTCACTGTGGAATATTCCCATGATGCGGACATTTTGATTTTCCTGAAAGATCCTGGGAATATTCCACGGTGGTATTCAAGGGATATTCAGGGGATATACCGTGCTTCTTGGGTGATTCCCTCTATTATTGCATACAAATATTTATTTGTGATGGCAATGAACAATTTACGTCAGTTACAGTTAAGTAAAATTGCAATAAATACTTAATTTTTTAATAAAACTTAAATAAATGCTGAAATCACAACACAAAACTTTTTTATAGTGTCAGAATAGTGAATTAAATAACAGAAGGAATAGGCAAACAACAAAATAAAATGACTAAAATTGTTCATTACAATGTAATTTAAAATTTTCAAACCAATTTTGCGAAACGCGAGAAATAATCAAATTTTGGTCAAGAGAGCTTATTTTATTTCAATTTCAGATTTTATTTCTTATTTTAAACTCAATTTCAGTAGTTTTTTTTTGTCATTTACGGATCATTTTTCTTCATATAACATTGATTTTGTACGTGGCCCAACCGTAAAGTCCTGGTCTGCGACCGTAATGACAAAATGATTTTTTTTATGTCTACAACTTTTACACTTTTGATCCAATAATTTTCTGCTATTCAGAAGAAACATTACACTTTGGAAGATCTTTTCAATCATATGTGAAAACATCCGAAATTAAGCTTAGAACGAAATTTATGGCCACAAATCAAAACGTAGCCCAACCGTTAGTGACTCTGTCCTATTTAACTGTGCTCTATCCTAAGATAAAATAATTTTTTTTATAAAACAATATTAATTAAAGTTTGATATAAAATTCTTTGCATTCGGGCTATAGTGGGTTAATTTTTTGATTTTGTCAAAATAAACAAAAACACGCCAAATAAGTTTTTTGTAAAATTAATAAAAGTGGTTTTTCACAAAAAAAAATTTTCATAAAAACATTCTATATTCCTCATTCCAGATTCCACATTTCTGGATTCCATAATCTGTATTTCAAGCCCCACATTTAAAGTTCAATATTGCAAAACCCCCCACATTTTAAGTTCAACATTATTCCAAACCCTATATTCTAAGCCCCATATTACAAAACCCACTTTCTGGATTCCTTATTCCACAATCCGTATTCTAGATCCGGAATCTAGAATCTTCTTTTTTATTTGAAAATTCATCTCTTCATTACCTATGGGAAAATAAATGTTTCGTTACTTTTTTGACGAATTCTAGTCATTGTTGGAATCTAAATGAATTGTCGGCCATAAAAAAATCTTCACTTGTAACACTGTCGTATAGCTTCTCGCGTTCTTTTAATCAGCTGTTTGTTTAGGATGCTTTCTTTCTCTGTATTAGCAGCTTCTTTCTTTAACGATATAAACTTTTCACTTTGTCATACCTACTGCTCTACTGAATTCTTCTGTGTAAATCGTTAAAATGAGAATGGACTATATCGTTACCAATCCCGTGGTAATTATTGTTACAAACCTACTATCAATTGAAGCTATGAATCAATCTAAAATTTATCAAAATTATTATACCATTGATTGAAGTTTTTATTGACTGCAACTATCAATTGTTGAAAACAGAATTAAAATTATATAATATTGATTTATAACTACTAGGGAAAACCGGACTAATGTACCTATATGTATTTTATTTTAAAATTCTTTCTTAAATTTAAATTTTTTCTTTTTTTGTAAACCTGTTTGTTCAAATTAATTTAAATTGTGGGTCTTGCTAAAAATATGCTACAAATTTCACAATGGGCCCCGCATTGTAGTTGACAAAAGTTATTTATGGAACTTGGCAAACAATTCATTTTAAGGTGTTGAATAATAATTTATCAAATATAACATTGACCTAGTTAAGTGACATTGAATACAAATTACATGATTTAGAAACAATACTAATGAGACAAATAAATGTATACTTATGTACTTTCACATAATATCGAAGGAAAATTTTTCAATATTTTTTCTTTAAAATTAAATTAGCAAAAAATTGTTTTTTTTTTAAAACATTTTTTAAATGAAATTATTGTTACTTTTTAGGGTCAATTGGGGTAAATGGGGAAAAAATCTCTATTTTTCACAAAATACGTAAGTTTCTTCCTTTAAAACGTAATATTTGCAGATTTATTTTTTAAAGTTGTTATTTATTACATTCCCAGGATTAATTTTATGTAGCAGGAAAAAATTTAGATAAACTTTAAATGCATGAAACTGACTGTCTTCATTTACCCCAAAATTTAGAAAATTTCATAAAATTTGAGGTAAATGGGGACAGCATAGTTTCTAAGAAAGTTTAAAGAAAAAAGTTTCCTTAAGTATATTACATATTAAGGGATGAAAAAACTTGAAAAAATTTGTAGTAGATATATAATAGTTGAAACAATTGGAATTTTTTTATTTTTTCTAATTTCAGTATTTTGTCTCGCATTTGAAAAAAACAGACTTAAAAATCATACCAAATTTTTTTCTTATTCCTTATGACTCCCTTAACAGAAATTCACTTGAATTTTTGATCTTTTTTAATTTGGTTAATAATAACAAGCTATCCCCCTTTACCCCAAAAATTTGAAAACTCAGGGTAAATGGGGACAGCTTGTCATTATTAACCAAATTGACAAAAATCAAAAATTCAAGTGAATTTCTGTTATAGGAGTCATAAGGAAAAAGAAAAAAAATTTGTTATGATTTTGAAGTCTGTTTTCTTTGAAATGCTCAACAAAATACTGAAACAGTTTGATTTTGATTTTCAAGTTTTTATGCATTAAGCAATAACTTGAATTATCTTGCTGCCAATTGTCAAGCTTAAAGCATGGCAATACTCAAAACCTCTTGGAGGTGATCTGAGATTAAAATATTGACGTTGAACTTAATTTTAAAACTGTAAATTAAGCTCCAAAACCTCTTGCCCCTATTTACCCCAACTGACTCTATATTAATTAATATTTAATATAAATAATTTTTTATTAATATCTTAATTATTACTTTGTAATTTAAATATTTTAGAAGTGAAAAATTAGAAGATTGTTAATTTTTTTATTATCAAATTTTCTTTCTATGATGATTACTTCATACCTGGAACAAATGAACGTGAAATAATAAAAGAAAACTATGTAGAGATGCAGATGTGTCGTTTTTGCAGAAATCTGAAATAAAAGCAGGAAGCATCGCGCCATCCTGAAGTAAACAAAAATTATAGTTGATTATTATCTATTGGTGCAATTTATTACATGACTAGTTGATGTTATTTATGTAATCTCGTGAATATGTCAACACTTAAAAAAATATGTATATATACAAATAACAATAGTTTTTAAACTATAAATTTACATAACGGATCGTAAATTATTTTTTGAAAACTCCCATATATTTTTAATAATAAAGATTTTAAAAATTCATGTTCATTGTAAATTTTTAATGTCAATTTTTAATTGTCATATTTTTTATTTCTGTAAATTACTCAATTTTAAAAGCAAATTTTTACATACTGTGATTCTTCGTTTTCTTATATATTTATTTATTTTTAAATTCCTTTTTTTTAAATAATACAAATTACTATTTAATTAGTATATTCAATTGTTTAAAATCCTTTTTCAGGAAATTATAATAATTAAAGGAAATAGTGAAATATATATATATATATATATATATATATATATATATATTATATTGTAATATAAGAAAAGGTGTCAAACATTTTTGCAGCACGATTCATGACACCAATGATTTACATATCAAGATCTTTGCACTGTTATAAATATATGTAGCAAATGTCTCATAGTGTTAGTACAACAATTTCTATGACAAAATAAAAGCGAGATTATTTTCGAATTAAATAAAACTTGGCACTATTTCTTAGTATTTATTTTTTCATTTAATATATTTTTTAATGATTATTTAATTATCATTTGTGTATTTACTGCTTTTTTTTTATTTAAACTCCCGTTATTCATTTACATTTGATTGTATAATTTATTTTTTCTAATTATAATTTATCATCAATTTCGGATAAACAGCGTGCTAATTTAAAATCAATTTATATTTATAGTTGTACATTGAAAAAAAATTTATTTGATTTAAATAATCAGTTATTTGGTTACACTATAAAATAAATATTTATTTGGACTACATAATATTGTTATATATTTGAACCAAATAAATTATATTCGAATCAATAATTTCTGTATTTAAAATAAATATCTTTTCATTATTGACACAAATAATAACTATTTAAAATATTTATTTGATAATAGTCCGATTATTTGAATTAAATACATTTTTTTCAGTGTAACTTTAATGATTGAAGACATATAATTAAAGTTTCAATTATTAAAGCTACTATATTATTAATAATTAAATTATTATTATATTAAAACATACCAACAGCTGAAGTTACAATAATTGTTTTTGCATGTAAAATTTAATTTAAAAAGTAAATTTTTTTTCAGAAACACTGAAGAATGATAATTTGAAGTTTCATTAATTTAATACTCGAAAAATTATTCGCTCATATTCATCTGATTTGAAATTTAAAAGAGAACAACATGAATCTAATAGGATTAATGAATAGCTTCTTTAAGCGAATTAGCAAAGATTTTCGACACAAGGAACTGTTACCATTAAAACTCGCTTTTTTCGTAAAAGCATCAAGTTAGTTTTTTTGAAATTTTTTTTTTTATTATTAATCAATTAATTAATATCTATTGTAAAATTAATAATGACTGAATCTTTTTTTTAGCACTGTCGGTGCTTTATCCATATTTGACTATTCACATGCGAGAACTAGGAATAAATGTACAAGAGACAGCATTAATGAGTGCAATAACTCCACTTGCAGTAATTATTATGCCACCATTAGCAGGTTTAATAGCAGATCGAATAGGAAATTTTCGAGTGAGTTTATTATTATCCTTATTTTTTAATTATTAAATAAATAAAAAATTTTATAATTATATTTTATTAAATTTACGCAACAAAATACATTTAATTTTTAAATAATAATTTTATAGGTACGATAAATAATAATGTTATAAATGAAAAACAATTAATTAATTAATATTAATTATTAACATCTCTAGTTGTGTATTACTTAATTAGTTATTAATTAAACGCATTTTCATGTAAATTTTTGTTTGCTTATTATTATTTGTACTACTATTGTTTTGATTGTTAAAAAATTAAAAATAATAAAAAAAAAAACAAACTTAAATTAATATTATTTTTCCAGATATCTTTAGCACTTTTAACATCAGTCGGTGGATTGGCAGCACTTTTATTGTTACTAGTCCCCGTGGGTAGAGTCAATTTAGAATATCCCGATAGAATAATTTTGGATGCAAAATGTCAGCGAAATAGTGACAGATTAATATTTGAAATTAATCAAACTTATCCTTGTGAGGAGAAACTTGAATCGGAAATAAACATGAGGATAGAAAGTTGTGGGTAAGGTAGTACATTAAATTTTTTATAATTCTCACATTGATAACTGAAAACAATACTAAAAATTCATTAAGAATTCTTTAATATATATATATATGACGCTCCACGAGAAAAGGGACCTTGGAGGCAAAAAATGTTAGGTTATGATTGTGATTGTTGAATTAAAAATACACAAAGACGATCAACTCTTAATATAAACAATTGATGTTTAAGTCTTCATTAAATCCAAAATATTAAATAAAAACTGATTTTTATTTTACACAATTAAAGACAAACGTATTTAATCAATTTAAAATTATAACTCACAAAGTAGTATAAGGAGACCCCACTGTCCGGGAAAGCTGAAGCCGTTTTCCCCGTTTCTCTTAAAATTAACGGAGGTGTCGAACCCTAACGGGAAAATTTGATACCTCCGAAATTTCGTCTGCTAAAAGTGACATGAGCCATGTAAACATGGAGAATCTCCATGGATATAAACATGATATAATTATTTATGTTGTGTAAAAACACAGTAACGAAGTAAAATTAGTAACTGCAAGTGAATATAAATTATTAAACTGTTTAAATTTTATTTTAATTATGGTTGTGATAAAAATATACTTTAATAAGATTTATATATTTAAAATGAAACTCATTATTATTATTTGGATTTCTTTGAAAATAGTTTTATAAATAGATTTATATTTTGTATTGCCTTTAACACAATTTGTTTTGGAACCTTTAATGGAACCACTAATCATATTTCCTTACTTTTCTTTAAATTATTTTCAAAAACCAGAAAAAAACAAACCGATATAAAAACAATCAGTTTATGCAGGTTATGTCACGGCAGCCATTTTGCGAAAGTTCTATGTGTTAGTAACTGTATGTACACATTTTGTGTCAGTGTGGGTAACTAGTTCCCAAATTTTCCGATAGGTTCGACACCTCCGTTAATTGTAAGAGAAACGGGGAAATCAGCTTCAACTTTTCGAGGGCTTAATATAGCAGTGGGGTCTCCTTATACTACTTCATGTTATAACTGAACTTAACCTAAAATTTTTTGCCTTTAAGGTCCTTTTTTTGTGGAGCATCCACGAAGTAGTATAAGGAGCACCCACTCTATAGGCCGTTTCGGGAAATCATTCCCCAACTTTCAGGATAAAATGTAAAGACGTTAGAATAAGTTGATACTAGCAGCCCTAGCGGAAAAGCGAAATATTACAGGCCACGTGGTACATAGATATATGTATACATATGTACAATTGACATAAAGTATATTTATTTTTTTAATACATATGGTAATCAATGAATTTTTGTATAATTTATAACTTATACTACATACACTTTTCTTTAATAAAACGTAATTAGAAATTTTCAAACAGTCTAACTCAAAAATATATTCATATAAATAAACACAAACTTACCACGTTTGCACTATGTTTTTACACTATCCAGATATTAATCACGATATTAATGTTCTGTATAAATTTAAACTTTTATTGCGTAATGAGATTGTTTCACGATTGTTCACTATTCGCGAGCAGACGTCAATGAACGCAGCCATATTGAAAACTCTGCAGTACTTCGCTTTTCCGCTAGAGGCGTCATTGTTGACTTATTCAAGCCTCTAACATTTTTTTCTATACTACAATAGGCCATCCCTCTAACGGTAGTGAGTGCTCCTTATACTACTTCATATGAGCATCACATATATGTGGATCTACTATTTTGAATTTTAAAAAACTGACATAAGATTTGTAATCAGTGATCCTGAAAACCCTCGTGTAACGAGTTTCAAGCGAATTCGATTAATTTTTGAAAAAAAAAAATTCCGCCATATTGAGTCAGACATTTTGAATTTTGAAAAACTGACTCTTTTTCAGACGAGGTCACTTACGTACTTTAAATAACTTTAAATCCACTCATAATGGACTAGTTTTTAATAATGATTTTTAAGTTAAACAATTAAATCACCTAATATATTTACTTAATTTTTGTTTATTTCAGTTTTATGTGTTCAGTACCTAATAATACCGATGTTCCATTATTGTTACAAGAAAAAAGTTACACAATAGAAGTAGCGGAATATGATTCAATTATGCTATTCAATTATTCAATTCCAGAAAGAAAAATAAATAAGGTAAATTTTTTCACTACCTACATTTATTTTTACTACATTTAATTACATTATTATTAATTAATCATTAATTAATTATTATTAATAATAAAAAACAAATTAATTAATTAATAATTACATTACATTATTAATTACATTCTACACTTCATAAAATATTAATAAAATCTGGAACATAACCTTATAATTGAAATTATTATTCATAATTAGAGTTATTATTAATTTATGGGCGATTCCACGTGAGATTTACATATGACATTTTAAATTCGGTAAATGTATTTTTTGCGATCTTTATAGAAAAAAAAGGTTGATGTATTTTTTTATTTTTTTATAAGTGCTCAAATTTTCGAGTTATGAATTTTTAAAAATCTAAATTTTTCGAGTTTTTTTAAAATACACCTAATTTTAATGACATATCTAACTCTAAAAGCATTGAATTTACGAATTATGACATGAAAATAAGATGAAAATTTTGTAATAAGTTTTGGAGTGGGCCTGATGATCCTTTTGTTTATAAAATTTGTTTTAAAAAAAAATTTACTTTTTTTCGTTTTTTTTTTATTTTTTGAAATGAAAAGTGTTTTGAACACTAGGATCTTTTAGTAAACTCATAATAGAAAAGCAAATTAAAATACATTTTATTTTGAAAAATAAAAAAAAAAACGAAAAAAGTAAATTTTTTTTTTTTAAACAAATTATATAAACAAAAGGATCATCAGGCCCACACCAAAATTTATTACAAAATTTTCCTTTTATTTTCATGTGTGTAAAAATAAAAAAAATTTTTTTTTAAAATCGCCCCTAAATTTAAAAAAATTTAATTTGTTTATAAAAAATCTCTGTTTTTTATAAACAAATTCAGAATTTTTTTTTCGTTGACATATTTTGAAAGACGATGAAAAACTGAAACTTTATTGTACCATGGTCATAATTCGTAAATTCAATGCTTTTAGAGTTAGATATCATTGAAATTAGGTGTATTTTAAAAAAAGTCGAAAAAATCAGATTTTTAAAAATTCATAACTCGAAAATTTGAGCACTTATAAAAAAATAAAAAAATACGTCAACCTTTTTTTTCTATAAAGATCGAAAAAAAATATATTTACCGAATTTAAAATGTCATATGTAAATCTCACGTGGAATCGCCCATTAATTAAAAAGTAGTGATCGTAATAAAATAATTATTTTAACCATAAACTTTCATTTACACATTATTATATTAAAATGTTTTATAGTATTTTCTTTTTTTTTCACTTTATATATAGGTAGACGATGATTTAGATGATGTTAGATCACACAGGATGTTAAAGAATGATGAATTTTTTAAGACGTCTATTCGTCAAATCACGAATTATACCCTTTTCTTTCCAGCGAACGATTTATACAGTTTTAAGTGCATAATTACTGAGGAGGAACCTGTAAGCCAAGATGCAAAAAAAATTTTAAAATGTGGCTTTGGGCATATTTCTAATAAACAAGAGGTAACTTAATTAACATTAAAATTATATTATTTTATTTATATATATTATTTTTTTTTTATTTTATTATTTAATTTTAAAAATTATCTAATTAATTAAGATTTAAATTTAAAGGGTGAAAATACGTACGAGCCCTTCAAAGTAAATCTCAAGACTTTAAATGAGTCAACAGATAGTTCAGTAATTAAAACTAAATATTTAGTGGAGAAATCAAATTGGACTGACAATAATATGATGAATGTTGAATGTGAAAATGGTGAACGAACATATCAGAAATTCTTCATCTCAGCTGGGAAATATAATATTATGAATTGTCATCAAAGATGTCTTATCACTGCTCCCAGATCGGAAATATGTTCTAATATGAAGGAAGAAGTCGTTTATAATATTCAATTAACCTTTTGGTTATATCTTTCTTTTAGATTATTCAACGGTTAGTATTATTATAATAAACTAGAAATAATGTCGCGCATAAATTTCCAAATTAATGATTAGAATTTTCATTTTTTCAATTAACATTTGACAGAATTTCTTTATAAACGAATTTTCACTTAACAAAATTTTTAGGAATTATCGAATTTTTATTTGACATAATTTCTCTTTATCCAATTTTTTATTTAAAAAAAAAATTTAATGTTATCAAATATTAATTTAGCACAATTCTCATTCAACAAAAATTTTAAATTGTTTTTTGTGCAATTGACAGTATTAATTATTAATAATTTTTGTAATCAAAAAGGCTTAAGTACGATCTTTTTTGGATATATATTTTTTATTAGAAATCCCAACTAGTTTCGAACATTATCGGAAACATTATGGAAATCCGTTTTGTATTAGAGTTTTTTTTTAATAAACTCGAGACTTTCAAGATGGAATTTTTGATCTGACAGTTTAATTGCCCTATCAACTTATTATTCCAATTTTATAACATAATGTTCGAAACTAGTTGGAATTTCTAATAAAAAAATATATATCCAAAAAAACGTACTTAGGCCTTTTCATTACAAATATTATTAAAAATTTTAAATGATTCGAATTTTTAAGTGCCAGAATTTCCAATTCACTGAATCTTCATTTTGTCCGAATTTTTATTTTTGCACGAAAAATTCGAATCACTTAAAATTTTCTTGAATGACAATTGTGCTACATTAATATTCGGTTAGATTAGATTTTTTTTCTAAATAAAAAGTTGAATAAAGAGAAATTCTGTCAAATAAAAAGTATGTCAAAAAAAAAAAATTTGATAATACCAACAAATTTTGTTAGGTAAAACAAAAAATTAATTAGAATATAAATTTATTGTTTTTTTAAAGTAAATTAATTTTAATTTTAGCAATGATTGGTGGTACTGCATGGGCAATGTTTGAAGGTGCTGTGATTGCCACATTGAGAGAACACAAGGCTGATTATGGCTTACAGAGGCTTTATGGTAGTTTAGGGGGAATGATATCATCCCCTTTATCAGGTCTTATGATAGACTCTTTTAGTAAAGGAAAAGCTTTCACTGATTTCAGGTAAAATTTAAATTAAAATTTTTTTTTAATTAAAAATTCTTAAATTTATTTCAATATTAAAAAAAAATATTTATTATTTATTTGCAAATTATAATTTTTACTACACACAAAAAAAAAAAAATTGTATAATTCAAAATAAATAAGGTCAATATTTTTTCTTTAAATCAGAGAATTTTTTTTTAAGACCGTATTGATTTTTTTCAATAAAAGAAATTATTTTTTGCGTATTTAAATTAATTTTTAATTAAATAATTATTTGTATAATTTAAATTTTTTAATTTCAACAAATATTTTTTCATTAAATTTTTAAACTTCTTTTCTAATATATATTTTTCTTAGTAATAAAAATTATTATTTTAAAGAATATTTATTTCTAACACAAATAATTGTTAAAAGTCAATGCAATTTAGGCCAGCGTTCTATCTTTACGCTGCACTAAAAGTGGCTTCAGGTGTCCTCATGTTGTTTATTAGTTTGGAATTCAAATCACCAGCAAAAAATATATTTAAGGATGTTTATGAGGTGCTGAAAAATGTGGAAATCGTTACACTTTATGTTGTTTCCTTCATGTTAGGTAAGTCTTTCACGTCATACAATTTTTTTTTCTCTCTTTTCTCTAATGCAGAAAAAGAAGGCAAAAAAATCATATATATATATAAACCAATAATGATATAATGACAAAACTAATTAAATTTACGCTGATCGAGTATAATTTATAATTATCATTATAAAAAATAATATTTAAAAAAACATATAATTAAATAATTTAAAAATATTTGAATTTGCAAATAAATAATTATTAGCTACTATCCACTTGATGAAACTAATTAGAAATTTGTTTTTCTGAATTTAAAAAACAAGTGAATTTTATTTTTTTTTTAAATTGGAAAATAATAAACATTTTTTTGTGCTTTTTCAAATATTTCCTATATATATGTATGTGTAATAAACATATATTTTTTTTGTAAGTAAAGATTACTATCGTCTATGTTATAACGTCAGAGTTTTGAGTGTTTGCAATTATATATTGTAGAATTTACGTAATTTAAACGGTAATACTTCCGGACTATTTGCAACACTTTGGCTTTAAATCAATAAATTGCAACATTGACATTCAACTTCAAATCTCATCATTTAAAAAATCACGTTTACATTATGTTATTTTACAGTTTATATACCTTTTAAAAAAAAAAAAACTCACTAAACAATTTTCTGCTCGTTAAAAATGTTAATCTTCAATTATGTTTTATGCGTTCACACTTTTTTCTTTTAAAAATAATTGCCTATATTATAAATATTTAGTAGAAAAACGTAAAAAATAATTATAAGAATAAAAAAAATTATAATTAATATTATTTTTTATTTCTATAATTATAAATTGTTTCGCTTATTATTTATATATATTTATAATTTTTTATATATCTATTTATTCCTTAATAAATAGAACATAAATAATAATAATAATACATAGCCATCGTATAATTGACTAATAATAAATATGATCGAAAAAGTTTAAAGGAATTTTAATTTAATTTGAAATGAAACATAAATAAATTTTAATTATTTATGAAAAAAAAAAATTAATTGCAGGCACTGCTTGGGGATACATCGAATCCTTTCTTTTTTGGTTCCTACAGGATTTGGGTGCATCTCAATCACTTATGGGAATCACTATAACAGTTAGTGGCCTTGCTGGTTTACCTTTATTGGTTGTATCGGGACCAATAATTCACAAACTTGGTCACGCCAATGTTCTCTTCATTGGATTTATTTTTTATGCTATTAGACTTGTTGGTAAGATTATTATTTATAACATAGGTTATTAATAATTGTTTTATTAATAAAAACCAAAATCATTAAAGAACTTTTCAATTCAGTTCAATTTTTTAATTTAATGGGAAAAAATTAGCTGTGACAAATTATTGTGGAATAAAAATAAAATTAACAAAATGTAGTATGCAAAAAATGACAAAAAAAAAAAAAACTATCCAATACATGTAAAATGTATTGTAACGGATTATAATGTAATAAATTTAAAGAAAATAATAACTAAAGTTGTAATATATGTATAATAATATGTATTATTATACAGTTACGTAAATTAGACAATAAAAAAATTTAATTTACTCTGATTACAGGCTATTCACTGATTTACAACCCATGGCTATGTCTGATTTTTGAAGCTCTTGAATCTGTAACATCTGGACTTGCTTTTACAGCAGCTGTAACTTATGCTGCAAAATTATCAACGACAGCCACTGATAGTACTGTACAAGGTTTATTGGGTGGAATTTACTACGGAGTTGGTAATTAAACAAATTATTATTTTCAAAATTATCAAATTAATTTAATGAAGTATGTATGTATTACTGCATCGTAAAAAACTCGTTTATCTTAATTTTCAAAATCGTTAAAAATATATATAAATTATATATGTTCACAAGAATATTGTTACGTAACATAATAATTATTTCTTTTTTCATTTGTTTCTTGGTATTAAGATTTTTAATCATAAAATCTATCCATATAAACAAAATCATAGCCTTTTTATCTGTAGCAACATTCCATTCAATTTAAAATTTTTTTACAATTAATTTTAAATCATAATTTTGTTTGCGTTAAATTGTTAAAAAAACAATTTCCCAATTTTTAGGTTATGTTAACGTGTACCATTCCTCTTTAGTTTTTCGATATTAAAATTCGGCTCATTATAAAACCTATTTTGTTAAATATTCAGCTAAATAAAACTTATGGATAAATTTTAATTCCACATAAAAAAAAAATACCAAAAGATCCAAAATGTGGGGAATATTCATGTGTCCCTAACAAAATAATTGTTAATTTCAGGAAAAAGTTGCGGAGGTCTCGTGGGAGGATTTCTTATGAAAGGAGTGGGTACACGTCCTACTTATCAGATATTCGCGTTAGCTTCCCTATTGACAGGATTGATGTACTACGTGTTCAACGTCACTTATTTGAAAAAGCGTCCTCAGGTTGAGGGCAACGACATCGTGAAGAAAGAGCCGAAGAAGAAGAAGACGACGGGTCAAAATGATCTCGAGAATGGATCAGTGGAAATAGTCTCAAAAGGAGAGGAGGAAAAGAAGAAGAAGAAGAAGAAGACAACGACGAAACAACATCAACAGATACCAGACAAAGAAAAGATTGCCCAGGGCTACGACAACAAGGCATATTCTAAAGATGCAATGAAAATTGAAAGTGCAAACCCTACATCCAAGGACATTGAGGCCCTCAATAATGTCAAGAACCTCGACAAGATTGAAAAGATTTCTGAAAGTGGAGATGATCATGAAGAGATCGAGAAAAATCACGATAAGAAGGAAGATTATCAAAAAGACAACAATACAATTATAAATTCAACCACTGATGACAAAAGTCCACGCAAGTGTAGTGTTACGATCGAAAAAGTACCAAAGGACAAATAATTTATGTTCGATTATTAAAGACATGAACCATATTTTCATAATAATTTTAATACTAATTAAATAATGATTGTAAGTTGAAGTTGATGATAGTTTTAATCAATAATAGCTTCAATTATTGCAAACATTCTTTTTTAATTAAAATGATTATTATTCGGAACTACCATTACCCATGCAGAAATTATTTTACTTTGCTCTATTTAAAATGGTGTTTTGGACAGGGTTTCGGCAGTTTTCCCTGCTTAAACAAAAATTTAAATAAACTAATATAATATAATATATTATAATAATTTTTTTTTATTTTAGCAGTTCGAACAGAATTCCAGGGTGAAAACCCCAAATAGAATGTTTACTAGATTTAAAACAGGGCACTGATCAGGGCCTGACCAGATTTCCTAGCTTAAAAACAATGTAAAGAAATTAAATTTATAAAATTACTAGAATTCCCAGAGCGAAAACTCAAAAAGAGATGTGATTATTTTTTGTACAGTTGTATAATTTTGTAAAATTTATATTCTACGAATTTTTCTCTACTAAATTTAATGATTTATTTCAAAATTAATTCGATAATTTATAAAACAATATGAAAAAATTTATTTTATGATTTTTTTTACTAAATCATTTAAAAGGATTAGAAAGTATAATAAGATGAAAAATTTTATTTAAAATAATTTTGTTAATTTGTTATGATAAACAGAAAGTACTTTTAGTCTCAATATTCAAAAAAATGTTACGTAAAAGATCTGTAAATTAATGGCAGCGTGGTCAAAGTACATGGCTCGCGTCCCAAGGGTCCTGGTTTCATTCCGAGATTTTTCAAAACTATTCAATGTTTTATATAATAAATATGTAATTAGTTGAAAAGAAAAAAATTGTAAAAACATTCATTTATTCAAAATACGTAAATCTCACAAAATATGGCAATTTTAAAGGAAAACTGAAAATAATTTTAAAATCTGCTACAGTTGCGTTTAAAATTGTAACCAATTGAAATCATATAAAAATCCGATTAGGATAATAATTAATTACAGCTTTTTTTATAAAATAAAATTACTTTTAATTGAAGTTACCATTAATTTGAATTAGAATTAGAATTAATTAAAGCTACCAGAGATTAAGTTATTGTTGATTAAAGCTACCATTAATTAAAACTCTATATATGAGAGATTCTTTTTCAATCGCCCCAGCCCAAAAAGTCAATGTTCTGGGATTGGCTTCATACTTTGGTAAATTGTTCTCCTATATGATAGTAATAAATCCCTAAAATATAAACTCATTAAAAAAATATTTGTAGAAAGTAGAGGGGGTTGAAGTTTTGACGTTAAGGGTAACATTGTTATTTTCAAATCCGTATAACTATGACAAAAGTTAATGGATTTTAATTGATCTATAATGAATTTTAATGCATTTTTCACGTACTTTTCAAAAATGTATACAAAATTTAAAAAAAAAAATTTTTGATCCCTTTTTTTGGGTGTACTTCCGAAGTAGGGGTACCTCCGATTTTAATAAAACTTGGTATACTGACGTATTTTGGTGCGCTGATTACGAAAATGATAGTGAAAATTGGCGCAAATTTGATTATCATGGTAAAAACCATAAAAAACACCATAAAATAATGGTTTTTTACGATTATCTCGTAAAAAACAAAAAATTTCGAAAAAAGTTTTAGACAAAAGTTGTAGATCTCAAAAAAACACACATTTTATGTTTTATGCATTTTTTACCAAAAGTCATTATTTTTCGAGAAAAATCCAAAAAACGAAAAACACCATGATAATGAAAACATATACAGCAGTCATGGTTAGACATATTATTTGACTCGTATACAGTATCATATTCACCATTAGTCAGAATCTAACGAATTCCGCAAAATAATTTCGGCCATATCCACCCCCTCTCGCCAAGGTTTTTTTTAAAAAGAAAAGCGAGCAGTACCTTACGCGGCCGAAGGCCGTGTTTACTATTTTGCGTTTACCGCTGCTGTGGACTCCACCCCACAATTTCCGCAAATTACTTTCGGACACATCCACCCCCTCTCGCCAAGATTTCTTAAAAAGAGAAGCGAGCAGTACCTTACGCGGCCGAAGGCCGTGTTTAATATTTTGCATTTACCGCTGCTGTAGACTCCACCCCACAATTTCCGCAAATTACTTTCGGACCATTTTTCTCGAAAAATAATGACTTTTGGTAAAAAATGCATAAAACATGAAATGTGTGTTTTTTTGAGATCTACAACTTTTGTCTAAAACTTTTTTCGAAATTTTTTGTTTTTTACGAGATAATCGTAAAAAACCATGATTTTACGGTGATTTTTATGGTTTTTACCATGATAATCAAATTTGCGCCAATTTTCACTATCATTTTCGTAATCAGCGTACCAAAATACGTTAGTATATCAAGTTTCATTAAGATCGAAGGTACCCCATACTATATACGAGTCAAATAATATGTCTAACCATGACTGCTGTATATGTTTTCATTATCATGGTGTTTTTCGTTTTTTGGATTTTTCTCGAAAAATAATGACTTTTGGTAAAAAATGCATAAAACATAAAATGTGTGTTTTTTTGAGATCTACAACTTTTGTCTAAAACTTTTTTCGAAATTTTTTGTTTTTTACGAGATAATCGTAAAAAACCATTATTTTATGGTGTTTTTTATGGTTTTTACCATGATAATCAAATTTGCGCCAATTTTCACTATCATTTTCGTAATCAGCGCACCAAAATACGTTAGTATACCAAGTTTTATTAAAATCGGAGGTACCCCTACTTCGGAAGTATATCCCTTTTTTTTCAAAATCAACCCTTATTTTTCGATTTTCACCCCTTCGAGAATTTTTTTTTTTTTTTTTTTATTTTCATTGGAAAGCTGAGGTTTTTTCCCATGAGCTATGTAAATATGAAAATGGGACAACAATAATTTTGTGAGAAACAGAATATTAATGTAGGCGGTGCCGATAACTGGTATACCTAAAGATCATCTTCGAGGATTTAGGTAGGCACCGCCTACTTTAATATTCTGTTTCTCACAAAATTATTGTTGTCCCATTTTCATATTTACATAGCTCATGGGAAAAAACCTCAGCTTTCCAATGAAAATAAAAAAAAAAAAAAAAAAAAATTCTCGAAGGGGTGAAAATCGAAAAATAAGGGTTGATTTTGAAAAAAAAGGGATCAAAAATTTTTTTTTTTAAATTTTGTATACATTTTTGAAAAGTACGTGAAAAATGCATTAAAATTCATTATAGATAAATTAAAATCCATTAACTTTTGTCATAGTTATACGGATTTGAAAATGACAATGTTACCCTTAACGTCAAAACTTCAACCCCCTCTACTTTCTACAAATATTTTTTTAATGAGTTTATATTTTAGGGATTTATTACTATCATATAGGAGAACAATTTACCAAAGTATGAAGCCAATCCCAGAACATTGACTTTTTGGGCTGGGGCGATTGAAAAAGAATCTCTCATATATATACAGTTAATTGAAGCTAACACAGCCACAGAAAAAATAAAAAAGTTCTGATCTGGAGGTCTGACCAGGTTTACCATATCTTTTTGGGGTCCCTGAATCTGAATCCGAGGCCCATTTAACCCCATAAGTTTAGAATTTTGTAATAATATCAAGAAACCCTAAATTTAAAATACGAATTCATAAAAAAAAATTTTTTTTGATCTGGGTGTCTGACCATGTTTACCATATGTTTTTGGGGTCCCCGAATCCGAATTCCATTTAACCTCGCATCACAGAAAATTAAAAGGCATTAAAATAAGCTGCAACGCTTATTATTTTAATCTAATTTTGCTTATTTTAATCCATTTTGGTATTAAAATAAGCAAAATTGGATTAAAATAATAAGCGTTGCAGCTTATTTTAATGCCTTTTAATTTTCTGTGATCACCTTAGGATTTCTCCATAACCTCAAAAAACACATTAGAAACATATTTTTTGATATTATTACAGAATTCTGAACTGATGGGGTTAAATGTGCCTTGAATTCGGATTTAGGGATCCTAAAATGATATGGTATAAACATGGTCAGACTTTCAGATCAGAAAGAAATTTTTTTGCTTGCTGTGTAGCTCAATTAAAGGGTTTTTTGAGGTTATGTCAAAATCCTGATCTGATGAGGTTAAACAGACCTCGGATTCGGACAGACCCCAAAAACATCAGATCATCATCAGATCAGAACTTTTTTTTATGTTTTTCTGTGGCTTTGTTACCATTAATACTGTCGATTCAAATTATCATTAATTAATTTGACTATTAATTGAAGCTTATATTATCATTATTATATTTTATCGTAATTGTTCGGCTATTGCTAAATAAATCTTTTCATTTAGAAGTAAAATCTCAAGGAATGACAGAAGTGTACGATAATTAATTATGAATGATTCTGATGGAATGAAATCGAAGTCAATAAATGAAAAATAACATTTTTTTAAAAATAACTTTTCAACTCTCTAAATCTGAATATAAGTGAAATTTCACTTAGAATGTTTCAAAAGTCTTCCACGTAGAAAAATAAGTGAAACTTCACTTATTTTTAAGTGAAAATCACTTATTTTTAAGTGCATTTAAACTTATTTTTCTACATGGAAGACTTTTGAAACATTCTAAGTGAAATTTCACTTATTCAGATTTAGAGAGAAGAGTCTATAAAGATTGTAATATGCGATTATTAAAATAGCTGTACAATAATAATTCATTATAGTTAATAATTTATTAGAAAAAAAAATGATGATGATAATATTATGATTACTATAATTATAGTTTTATAAACTTTATAAAGATTCGTACAGTTATTTTATTGTTAATAATTTGTTAATCCAAAAATTATTAACAATTGTTTTACTCTAAAATAATCTGTGTTATTTTTATTGATACCTATATATATTAAATGTTTAGAATAAATTATTAATTTAGAATTTTATTTTTATCAAATATCTAAAGAAAGTACAGTTAAAAAAGTGTGAATGACAAGTAGTAGTATATTATTTTAGTGTTATTATATAATAAAACTAGATTTACAAAAAAATATCAATTTGCTCGTGACATGATTGCTGTGAAATTATAAGTATAATTATTAGTTAACAAAAAAATAAACGTCAACTTTTCAGGGACGATATATAAGTGAGATTTGTTTTCCATTTTAATATTAGAAGATTAAGAATTTATTAAGAAATCTTTATTATTAGGAACTTCTTGATTATTAATTTTTAGAATATATTAAGTTATATAACTTTTTATTGACTATACTAGAAAATATTATTATATGTTAAGAGCAAAAAAAAAAAAGTTAATTTATTGTAAATGTAGAATTGTATATTATTATTATTGTCAGAAAAATAAAGTATTATATTTTAATTAAATTTTTTTTTTCTGTTAATTATCTGCTGAATTCATTTATTTGTTTTAAGAACAAGCGTATATGTTATAAAATTATTTTATTTAATAGAAGTAAGTCAGTTTAAACATAACGAAGTGAACTCGATAGAGGATGTGAAAAGACTGACTATGTATAAACACAACTGTAGAAACAAAATTTAATCAATATTCTGTCCCATACAAAGAGTTAATAATAATTATCACTTTTCGCCAGTTGAATATAAGTTTCATTATAAATGGACAAGTTCTACAGACATTATTTTTTGTACCTATAATTATGTTTCATTATCGTCTAAAACTCGAGAGACACTATATTATTAAAAATGTTCCTTTATAGAAATCTTGTTTGAAAAAGATTATGGCTAAAGCTATAGAGTTACTAGTATAAAGCACAATGTTAAGAAGGGAAGATACAAGTAAAATTTAATCGATCTATATTCTCTCTTTTTTCGAGTACATACTAATTCAACTTAGGATTTATTAAACATCTTACAAATATTTTATTTTTGCAAAATTCTAAATGAAAAATAAAATTTTAATTTGAATTTAATTTTAAATGAATGTGAAATTAAATAATAATTGATCAATTAAATAATTTAAATTCTATATAATAGATACTTATTACCTTATTGCATATTAATATTTATTGATTTTTATGATTAAAAAAATTTAAACTTGACTCTTTAATTTAAACTTTATGTAAAATTGATATATTATTAAATATATATATATGAAAGATATTTAATCAATGGTGGAGAAAATTTTAATCAAATAAAATGCAAGAATCGAAAAATATTAAAGTAGCAGAATTCTCTTTTAAGACAATATCTTATATTGGACTTTGGCGTCCGATGTCTTTAAAATCATTATGGAAAATTCGAGTTTATAATTTTTTTACTATTATTATTATATTATATAAATTTTTTTTTTTCCACCAGTTTTTTAATTAAACTTTATCAGAATAAATACAAAGCAGAAATGCTTGTAGAGAATATATTTTCATTTACAACTATTTTTCTATTATCATTTAAAATAGCATATTTCAACTATCATAAAAAAGAAGTGGAATTTTTAATTAAATTATATTTACAAAAAGAAAATCTTCCTCGTAATATTGAAGAGAATGTAATTTATGAAAAGTTTGAAAATAATGAAAAGTTAGTAGTTGTAATTACATATACGACTAAAACTGTATTTATTAAAAATTATCTTTATGAAATTCAGGCGTCTTATATGATTTATTTATATTTTACTGTCTAATACATGTGTCTAGTTAGAATTTTCATTTTTCGAATTGGCATTTGATTAAAACTCTTTTAAAACAAATTTTTACTTAAGAGTGTCGAATGGTCTCTTAAATTCTTTGGCATTTAATTATCGCCCTAGTCTGTAAAAACAACACACTGAACGTGAAAATGATAAAAATTGATTTTAAAATATTTTTTTCTCGATATACGGACACTTTTTAAAAAATCGACCATCCGAAAGATTGTGCGAATCCATACAAAAACGCGATTAAAAAACGAAAAGTAGGAAAGTAATATAATGACAACTGCGACGTTGTGCTCCCTGCATGCTTCAGCCACCTAACGGCTGTAGGACGTAATAAAGCTGTCATTATATTACTTTCCTACTTTTCGTTTTTCAATTGCGTTTTTGTATGGATTCGCACAATCTTTCGGAATTAGGAAATTTATAAGATAATGATCCTTGAATGAATTCAGTTGAATGGGGTCGTCCATAAATTACGTCACACATTAAGGGGGAGGAGGGGGGAAGTCAGTAATCAGTACAAAAAATGGCGCTAATGTACGCAATAGTGTGTGACATGGGGGAGGGAGGGTCAAAAAAGGTAAAAAATGTGAGACGTAATTTATGGACGAATCCAATGAGAATTTTGTTAAATTAGAATTCTTTCAAATAAAAAGTTAGGTAAAAATAATTTCTGTCAAATAAATATTCTGTTAAGTAAAAATTCATTTATTAAGAAATTATGACGCAAATGTTATTTAATTTTAAAAACAATTAAATAATTTAAAATTGATTACAATAAGTAAATAATTAATATATTTGATCTTATCTTATTAGTCTCACAATTTTCAGATTCATTGAACGTATTTTTGTGATTTCTTCTTTACTGACAGCAACATTATATTTGTTTTTGCCATTAATAAGTAGAAAAACAATTTCCCTACCGTTAAATAGATGGGTTCCTTATTCTATTAGTTCTAAAACTATATTTTGGATGTCGTACATAAATGATATCATAGTTGTTTATGTTTTGGCTTTAACATATGCATCATTTGATTCGCTTTTAATAATTTTCATGAAACTAATTGACACCAATCTTGATATTTTCATTTATCGTTTATTGAAATTGCAAAATATTAAACAAAACAGTATTGAGAAAGTAGATGTTTATCAACAAGAGTGTAACATCGTAAAAGATTGTGTAAATCTTCATCTTCGTATTTTTTTGTAAGTTTAAATATTAAATAATAATAAATCTATTTATTTAAAATTATTATTATTAAAATTATTATTAAAATTATTATTTATTTGTTTAAATCTATTATTTAATATTAATATGTTTTAGTCAATAAATTGTTAAAAAAAAACTTCTTGATTCTCGATATGTTAAGCTACTAATGTTTTAATTTACAGAATGGAAAAGACATTAAATGACATTTTTAGTCTCCTAATTTTTTTCCAGTTCTTCATTTCCATATTAAATATGTGCACTAGTTGCTTTTGTTTAACAAGAGCTAAAGTAAGCACTGGATATTTTTGGAAGTTAATTATGACAATGACTTGTTTTATTTCTCAAATATTTATCTATTGCTTTCTGGGTGAAGAATTAACACGAAAGGTAAAATATTATAATATTTTTAATTAATAAAACACATCTATGAGGAATTTCATATGAGATTGAGAGGTCACCTCTCTAATATTCATCTTATGTTTTTGAATAGGGATAGGGGATCTAATTAATAATTTTAAATATTTATTATTTTTGGATTATAACTTTTTTATTTTTTGTTATACAAAAAATGTTGTTTCAATATTTTTTAAACACCAAAAAAAAATTGAACTTTAAGGGAAAAAAATATAATTTTAATTTTTTACTTTTTTTTATTAAAAAAAAATAAATTTATTTAATTTAATTAAAAAAAAAATTTTAAAACTAGAGAATAAACCTTTGAAACTTTATTTTTCTACCCCCTGTTTTTTTCATAAAAATAAAAAAAGCCTTCTAAAAAATCGTTTTTTAAGTTTATTGTCTAGAATAAACCCTTATGAAGAGATTCGCGTTTGAAATTTGAAATTATATATTACAGGTTGTCCGCAATCACCTGTACCAAAAAAAGGCACCTTTTAGATGACGCCACCTACAACTAAGAAATTGAACTAAATACACTCAAAAATATTTTTTTAAATTTTCTCTATGTAATGTGCAATAATGTCCAAAAAGAATTTTTGCAATTTATTTAATATTTTTCTTACAACAAAAGTTTTAAAACGTGTACTTTTTTGTCAATTCTAAACCAGAAAGTCCCCTTAAGTAATAGATTTTAATTTATAAAATATAAACTATTATTTATATAAACAATTTTTATAGTTTCACTTTTTTATAACAGGGTTGACATAAAAATTTTATTTTCTTTTTCTAATTTTCAGTCAGAATTAAAATTCTTTTTGAACCTGATGAAAACATTTCAAGAGGTTTTCAATTATAATTTTTAAAAAGAAAAGTTTGAATTATTTGTGTTGTATAAAAAAATTAATAAAATTAGGAACGATTAAAAAAAAGTGTCATTAATTTGTTAATGCAAATAACTTCAAAAATAATAAATATTTTTAATTAATATTTGGTATATATGGTTAATTAGTCGCCCTACCCCCGATCCAAAAACGAAAGATGAACCTTAATTATTTTCGTATGAAACGCCTTCTATAAAAATAAAATAAAATTGTTGCACTCATTGCAGAGTTTGTCTATTTCTGATGAAATATATCAAATGAATTGGACTTCATTAACAATACAAACGAAAGAAAAATTAATATTGATGATGATGAGGTCACATCGCCCCATACAATTAACTGGCACTTTAATAATTACACTATCTGTTGAAACATTTTTCAAAGTAATTTTTTCGTTTATAAATAAAAGATGAATTTAATTATTATTCGCTTTTATGGGCAAAAAAAATTGAAAATTTATTTTTTTTAAATTTTAAGATAATTGACAGATTTTCTATTTTCAGGTTGTAAAAGCGTCTTATTCGTCTTTCAACTTATTAAGGCAAACCAATTGAAAACAGTGACACTTGATAAATTTGTAAAAATTAATTTTAAACAATTTAAAAATAAATGGTTATGCACAAGTGAAAAAAAAAATTTTTATTATGAAACTTTTTTAATTTAATTCACTTGATCTGGCAAATAAGTTTAAAAATTTAAATAAAGCTTTTAACATACACTTTGAAGTATTAAAATTAGTTATATTCCGTTATATTTTCCTCAATAATAATTAATGAACAATAATAAGTAAATTATTTTAAGTATAAAGCGAAATTATTTTGACTTAAATTTACTTTTGATTAATAAAATTAAAATTCGTCAGTATGCCCTAGTCTTATCTCTACTTCTCTTATCGTCATTATTTTTTTTACATTTGAATTATTATAATTTTCAAAACACATATGGGTCACGTAAGAACAATTTTGCATATTGTAAATTCATTACTTTTTTGAATTATTGTAACGGTCGCATGAAGTTTACAAAGAAAATTAGAACTCATCAATCTGCAATCGTTTCGAATAGTTAGCACCCTTTTTCAACTGCTAAAATATTGTCCGTGAAAACGAAATAATATTTCAGTTTGACTCATAAATATTTTAATTTTTGTATTATTTAAATATTTCGTTCAAAAATTGTTGCATTAATTTGTTATTAATTTTTTTTCTTTTATACTAAAAAGAAAAAAAATAAAAAGAAGATAGAGAAAAAAAAGAATGAGCAGTAGAAGAAGAAGAGGAAGAAAATTTTTTGACATAAATAATTTTTAAATTTCAATTATATAATTATATTCATCAATGGTTATAATAAAGAATTATAATTTTTAAGAAACATTTTTTTTTTAAAGATCAATTAAACATTACATTGTGGACAATAGAATTACAGTTGTCACTATTCAGTTACAGTTACAGAGTCTATATAGGAGGTTCAAACTTGCTTTACTGGTCACTTGTACAAGTATTGTTCAGAGAAGATGAAGAAAAGATTATTTTCTCTTCTCTTTTTATCATTGTCAATTATAATTCCGCAAGTGATTTCGTATTCAAAAGTAACGAAGAATGGCAAGCAAGACGAAAAACTTCAAGGAGAACGCGTCGAAATATCTAGGTAATCAAAGGGCGCAAGAATTAGTGATCATTTAAAAAAAACATATATACATACATATATAGACCAACGGGTCATCATCTTCCATCAAAATCAACTCAGCACAACAATTATTTTCCTAAAAATAGAATCCTTTCACATCATCAGTACAAAAAATTATTTTTCACAAATTCATTTAATTTTAGACTCTGCATAAATAAAAAAAAATTTCTTACTATTTAAGAACGAAAAAAAAAATTAATTAATCTTCATTAACTTCAATTATTATTCAACTGCAATTTAATTTCATGTTTCAACTATAAACTTTAAATGGACGTCATATAATGTGTGTCATAGGTCTTTAAAATTCTTTTCATTTTTAATGTTTTTTTTTTCTTCATCAAATAGATTTACATAAATGAGTATTATTATATGGTGTTTTAAAAGGATTTTGACTTCCAAGAAATAGATGATTTAATTTTTTTTCTTTGTTGATATTTTTAAAGAGGAAGAGAAATAGAATTTTGTGCCAATTTTTTTTTCTCAAATTATATATTTTTATAAATAATGATCGCTTTTTATAGATCGAAGGGCCAAAAAAATGAAGGTAGAAGTGTGCAGGATATCGTAATTACTGCCTCTCCAATGTTCGTCAATGCCAGGAATCCTATTCTCAAACCTGGAGAAGCCATTGATTATCCAACAACCAAAGGGTGAGGACGTAGACGAATTTTTTTTTTTTTTTTTAGTAAATAAGAATACAAAATTTTCATATGTTTTCACTTTTAGTGAAATTTTAATATTTTCTCCTATTTAAGTCTTTACAATTTTAAAGTTTAAAGCTATATATATTTTCATTTTTTTTTTATCAAAAAAAAAAACAATTTTTGCAGTTATTCAACATTAGATGAAAGCATGATTTCAAAATTGAATTCGATGCCACTCAAACAAAATGTTCAAGAGAGATTTCATCCCCCAGCTCCCTTTGAACACGTATTGGCCCACGAAAATGCAAAAAGACAACAAAATCGACCAGGATCAGGATTTTCAAATCCTTCAACATTAGACGCAAGGCCATCGCCAATGGGGCCCGATATTACATTCACAAAACCTATGATTTCTGAGACCTTCGATTATCCACCCTCTAATTTCGACTCTGACGGATCCATAACTTCCAATTCCGATCTCAAGGTAGATAATTAATTTATCAAAATAAACTTCACCTATAATTTATTATTATTATTATTATTATTTATAGACAATGGAAATAATAATTGAAATAATGAAAAATTTGAATAATTTATTATAGAAATTTTTGGATAAATCATTAATTTTATTTATAGTACTTATACACGGAGAAAAAAGAATTGTTGTGGTTACTAAAAATTAAGTCCGGTGAACAAACAGAATTGTTTGATGAACAAAGAAAATTGTTATAGAACAGTTGAAATAACAAAACTAAATTGTTAAATCGGCAATACAATTTGTTTTATTAACAAAGCTTTGATCCGTCTAATACAATTTGTTCAGTTTCTTCGCCTTCGAAAATAATCGATAGCAGATTTCCGTAGGTCATATCACCAGTTTCATTTGCATTAAAATCTTTGGAACATGCAGCTTCTGAATCAAATTCTTTGACTTGAAACCAAAAAATTATTTTCAGTTGAAATTTGTTATTAAATAATATTTAATATACATTTTGTATTTTTTAAGGTAAGGTTATGTTCAATAGTAACCTATCTTACCGATTAACGATGAAATTGTCTCATCATCCATTCACTACACTTGTAATAGATTTCTCACTTTAACCGGATTAATTATTTAACAGGACTTCGTCATTTACAAAAAAACTAATAATAAAAGCAAAAGTGGCATTTGTGCCAGAAGCAAACGACGCGACGATCTGCACGCCAGTTTGCGAGAATTCAAGATGACCACGTGACATGGAACAATAAACCTGTCAGCTGAACAAATCCGGATTGTTCCATCAGCAATCGACAGAGAGTTTGCTTCTGCAAATGTACGGAATTGCAAACTGAACAAAACTGACAACAAAAAATTCGTATTGTTGTTAAAACAACATACATTTGTATTGACAACAATCCGAATTGTAATATTAACATTTCGAATTGTAATATCAACAAATCTACTGACAACAATCCAAAAATTTGTTTGCACCACAATTCCATTTTTCTCCGTGTAGTATACTGAAGTAATCAATTATTTCTGCTGATTAAAGCAGTACTACAAGCTTACCGTGAAAGCTTACTGAGCAATCTTGCGATAATCTTATTGTGCAAGCTTTCGGTAGGATTACTGAGCAATCTTTTGGTAAGCTTACCATACAAGTTTGGATCAGGTGGGACATTTGAAGCTTGCAGTAAGCTTGCGGCAAGTTTGCCGTGCAAGGTTGGCAATATTGCGCGTTAAGCTTGAAATAATAATTCATTCAAATTCGATGGAATAACTAGTTTGTAAAATAAAAATTCGTTTAAGTAACAATTCTGTATTATAGAAATTTGGTTAAATGAAAATTCTGTTAAATAATAATTCAAAGAAATCAAAATTCGGCTACAAGTAAATTTTAGATAACGAAATTCTGTCAGACGTTTCGATGGTGACAACTATCCTTATTACAATAATTTATAATTAGTTTTTAATACTATTAATTGTAATTAAATTAATTAACTAATTATAGATTTTTGTAATCTCTTGAAAAGGATATAGTGGCTACCATTGGAACATCGAAAAAATAATCATATTTTTCCTAAAAAAATTTTTTTTAAATTACTTTGGATTATTGACCTGAACCTTTAAACATTTATAATACTATAAAATCCAAAAACTGATTTTTTAAATAACACATTTTTGTTATTTTAATAAAAATAAATATCTTAATCAATGAAACCCACTTTTTTAAACATTGTAAAGTAAAATGTAAAACTTTGGTATATTCCGCTCTATTTCAGTATACCTTGCTAAGGTTAGTGCAAGATTGCCAAATAACCTTACTTTGAACCTAAAAAAATTTTCTTTTAATGTTCCGTCTAATTTATACAATTTTATTATATAAATTTGATTATTATATAAATTAGATAATACATTTAAAAAAAAATTTTAAGGTTTAAAGCAATGTTATTTGGGAACCTTGCACTAACTTTGAAACAAGCTTACAAAGCAATCTTGTAGTAACCTTACACTGCAATCTTTCGCTAAGCTTACCATGCAAGCTTGGGTCAGGTGGGACATTTGAAGCTTGCGGTAAGTTTGACGTGAAGCTTGCGGCAAGGTTGCTGCAAGTTTACGTGCTGTCTGGGATGAAAGTTCTGCAAATTAAAGATTTGTCGTTTTAAGAATTCTTTCAAATGTAAATTCAAACAAATAAAAACTCGATAAAAAAAGAATTATTTCTAATATTACTTTATGTAAAACAAAATTTTTTTAAAATGACTATTCTGTCTCATGAAAATTTCAAAAAAAAATAATTCTGTCAAATTCAAATTCGAATCTGTTAAATGAAAATTAATTCAAAAAAATAAAAATTCGAATAAAAATAAAATTTAGGTTATGAAATAATTCTGTCAAATGGAAATTCTAACAAATTCATTCTAGAGCTTATTCGAGCGTCTGTTAAATAATACATAAATAAAAATGGAAAATGAGTATAAAAAATTATCAATAATAGTTTTTGTTGAATTAATTTTACATCCATCATTTATTATATTGTTGATTAATTTTTACGAGGCCTTTAAATGGAAAACAGGTGTTTACAATTTTTAAAGAAATTTATTATTTAAGGACAATATGTTTCGACAGTATATACTGTTCTTTTTAGGTCCAATGCCTTTTTTTTATGAAAATAAAAATTAATAATTGACAATGATCAAGATAAATAACAACATTTTCCTGTAATGAACAAGAAGCTTTAATTTAAATTTAAAAAAAATTACCTCATAAGGAGGAAATGTTGTATTTTAAATGATTACATTTTAAATGTTTATTTAAACAAAAAGTAAAAAACAAGTAAAGAAAATTTCCATTTAATTTAATAAATTTCTTTAAAAATTTTAAACATGTTTTCCGTTTAAAGGCCTCGTAAAAATTAATCAACAATAATAGTTTTTATTGTCTAAATTCATAATTTTAACTGAACCTTAACAATGATTTTAATTAACAAAAAATATTTAAATTCGTTACCAAATTCTCTGTTTTAATATTTTTGTTTTTTTTTTTTTTTTCTAACAGGCACCATCATTTTATGCAACTGATTCCTATCTGAATGGCCATAAGATGAATCATAAACCCCATGATTCCTATGGTAACAAACCAACAATATATGGAGAGGATCCTCCAAAATCAACGGTGTATGAAACTCAATTTGATCATCCTCCTCCCCCCATTTCAGTTGATGGCTATGTTTCTGATCACGACTATCAACATGATGTAATCTATGATCACATTCCTGATGACGATCATCATCCGCATTATCATCATGATCATCATTACACTACCACTACAACAGAAGAGCCTGAAATGAATGATCAACGTCTTAGCAAGAGGCCTTATTCTTATTATTATATTGGTAGAAAACTTTGGTATATTCCGCTCTATTTCAGTATTTATTTTATCATTTATATAGCAGCTCTAGTTCTCAAGAGTGTTGCCAGGCACAAGATTAATTTTCCGGCCAATTTAGCATCAGTTGCTTCAAATGCAAGAAGTTCTGCTCAACAAAATCAATTGAATTGGTGGGATTATACAATGTGGATTCTCGATGCTATTGAAAAATATAGAAAAACGTGAAAAAAAAAATGATATGTATTGATTGTGACGCATTCTGAAGAAAGGGACCTAAGAAGCAAAAAATTATAGGTTATGTTTATGATACATTTATATTTTAATTTAAAGTTTCTTTTTAATTATGTAAAATGAAAATCAGTTTTTATTTTTTTATGTATAATAAAGACTCAATAGTTTGTAATTGAGAGTTAATATTTTATCTATTTCCACTACAAACTATCATAAACATAACCTATAATTTGTTGTTTCTTAGGTCCCAAATAAATAGAATATTTTTTTCAGGAAATCTACATTCCTGGATATAAACGTCCTTAATGTAAAATAATTATCCAATCGGGTTAAGACTCAAAAAAGCTGCCAAAGACAAAAAAAACGAGATTAAATATCTCAATATTTTATAGAAAATATTTATTAAAAATAATATTGTAAATAGGGAATTAAAATTTCACTTTAATATAATTATGTGTCCGTCAGCATTAAAAGGGACTACTTTATTTTCTTTCATAAGAACTATATTCGCATTAATGTTCACGCAAAAATATTCCTTATTGAAATCAAAAAAGTTGACCCTTTTCATGCGGACGGACACAAATATTTTGTACAACTTATTTTGCTATAATGTATGATAAATTATTTGTATTACGACTTCAATTGTTCGTTAAAAAATTAAAATAATGTTACTGAATAAATGCTATTTATAAACTTAGAAAATAATTTACATTAATTTTATTTTATACAGATGAAATAATTACTGATTTTTTATCTATACTATGTAATAATTGTACTTTATGAAATTAATTATTCATAATATGTAATTATAAAAAAACAATGAGTGTAAAAAAAATAATAAAATTTAATTTGCATTTGTCAAAAGAATCAGTTTTTCATTATATTCTCTACCTTGATAAAAAAAAGTGAAAAAAATAATAATTAAAATTTTTAAACACTAATAAATGAAAAATCATAAATATCTTTTTTTTAAATGTCAATAGAATAAATTAATTTATATGATTATAAAATTCAAATATAATTATGACAATTATGATATAATGGTTATAAATCAACTAACTAAATATATAATAATTACCTTAATAATAAAAATTAAATTTAGCAATAATATTGATAATAATAGAATTAATAACAACAATAATAATAACATTAATAATAATATTAATAATAATAATAATTTATGTGAAGATCACATGAAAAAAACAATGTAAGTATTTTGATAACTGTACGGTTCTGATCTATAACTGAACTATTATTAAAAGAAATTCTTCCAATTAACACCTAAGGATTAGATTATTATTTTAACGGGATTTTATCGTGACTTGCTAATCATTTAGACTAATAATGACAATGAAGTAAAATGCGTTTGATATTTCGGTGTGTCACTATACACGATTAGGATTTTATTTTTATATAATTAAACAACAATCATTGTTTGTTTACAATGGTATGATAAAAATACCATATAATTATAATTATTTTTTCTGTTTGGGGGGTTGTGCCAATTAAAATCTGATTGGGATAACCAAAATTTTCTTGACGCAACAAATAATCATGCACTGAAAAAAAATTTATTTGATTCAAATACTTCAAATTATTTGAAAAATATTTAATTGGTTCAAATACTTTTTATTTAGATCAAAAAAATATGTATTTGATTCAAATAACTTGAATTATTTGAATCGCATTTATTTGAACCAAATAAATCGTATTTGGTTCAATTAAATAATTAATTGAATTGAATAAATGAATTTATTTAATACAAATAATGAGTCACTTGAAACTATTCATTCATTTATTTCATTCAAATATTTCGTTTTATAGAAACAAATAAAAAGTATTTGATACAATAACTTTATTTAATGGATTCAAGTAAACTAAATTATTTAATACTAATACACTATTTTATCAAGACAAATAAAAAAATATTTCAATCAATTAAATATTTATTTGATACGATAATAATGATTTACTTGAAACAATTAATTTATTTATTTTACTCAAATATTTCATTTTATTGAAACAAATAAAAAGTATTTGATACAATAACTTTATTTAACTAATTCAAGTCAACTAAATTATTTAATACTATTACACTATTTTATCAAGACAAATAAAAAATATTTTAATCAATTAAATGTTTACTTGAAACGAAAATAATGAGTTACTTGCAACTATTAACATATTTATTTCACTCAAATATTTCATTTCTTTGATACAAATAAAAAGTATTTGATGCAATAAATTTATTAATTCTAATTAATTAAATTATTTAATATAAATAATGCTTTATTCAATGTTAATACACTATTTTATTAATGGAAAATAAAATATTTTGATCAATTAAATATTTAAGTGTAATAAGAATAAAGAGTTATTTCATACTATTCATTTATGTATATATATTATTTAATATTCTAAGTCCAAAAGTCAAATATTTTTTCATCAACAAAAAATTAATGTTTACAATGATTCAGAACAACGAAAAACGCGTTTTTAATAAAAATATATTTACACTTTTTTTGAAAATTCACCTGGGATGATTCATGATAATAATCATGAAGCATATAATTAATTATATTTTATAAATTGCATTTAATTGAAAAATATAATTTGAGTAAGAATTTAATTTAGAAATGGAAGTATTAGTAAATAAATATTTTATTTATTCAATTCAAATTTTGATTTATTTGAATCAAAAAATTCTTACATTTTATGCAAATAAATTATGTATTTGGATCAAATAAAATAATAATTGCCGCAATTAAAGAGGTTTTAGTTTCAATTAAAACAATTACTTATGACAAATAATCGAATATTTGATTCAAGAAAATTTTTAGTTGTTTCAAGAAAAATATTTTATTAATGCAAATAAATATTTATTTGAATCAAAAAACATGCAGTATTGAATGAAATAATTTTTATAATTGATTTAAATAATTATTTATTAGCATTGAATATTCCATTTATTTGATTTGAATATTTTGTATTTGATTCAAATAACTATTTATTTGATACGATAAAATAAAATACTTATGTCTAGTAAATATTTATTTGAATGTAATAATTTTCATAATTGATTCAAATAATTATTCATTTGCTTTGAATATGCCATTTATTTGATTTGAATACTTTGTATTTGATTCAAAAAACTATTTATTTGATACGATAAAATAAAATACTTAGGTTAAGTAAATGTGTATTTGGTTCAAATACATATTTATTGGATAATAGACAAGTAAATGATGTATTTGGATCAAATACTTTTTATTTGATCCAAATAAATTTTTTTTTCAGTGTGGTTACATATATATTAAACAAAATGTTGTTTCGTTGTCAACTGAAACCTTTTTTTTTCTTAGTGTATTAATTGTTAATCTACAAGAATTTTATGATTTTAAAAAAATAACTATTGTTTTTTTAAATTTCAATAAATTATTTTTTAACTTTATGAGAACATTTATACCACTTTTAATCTCTAAAATGAGAGATAGCTTTGTGACTTCTGTACTGGATTTGTAACATCAAAAACCGGGGTTCGATTCATTACGACTGTGGATTTTTCAATTTCAAAATTTAATTAATTTTGATTTTTGGAGCTTCATATGATTTCAAAATAAAGAATAATTTTGGACAATTGAAAATTTTAACAAAAAAAGTATCTACATAATTTCATCGTTTCATTTCAAGATAGTTACAAAAATGTTTGGTTAGCTCAAACTAATTTTTTTGTTAGAACAACAAAAATGGTTGGTTGATCAAACCAACCGTTTTTTTGTAAAATTGAAAATTTTATTATACCTTATTTCTTTTTTATTTATTTTATTATTTATTTTTTATCAATTTAATGTCACGTCCTCGCGACATCATATCTACAAATGATCGACCTGTGGCACGACGAACCCCTGTTTTTACACGTGCCTTATAAGCCTTCTTCGATTCGGTTAAAAATAAGTATACAAAGATGACTAATTATGGTATTATAATCGCGTGATTCTAGCCAACCCCTTGACAAAAAATATCAATATAAACCATGCATTTTTGAGGAACAAACAAGTTCTTATTTGGGTGTCAGTTTCATCAGTTCTTCTTCAAGAAAATTCATATTGTTCACCAAGTGTCAACGCTCAAATAAAACTCCTTCTCAGCAGTATTTTATTCTTACTCAAAATATCATTCTAAAATTATTTTAACTTGGACCTTCAACAAGTTCAACGTCAATTGCCATCTTTGAGCCAGTTTTTCCTAGATTTTATACAGATCGCCAGGCTTGACCCATTCACCATTTATCGCAACTTTCAGACAGTTTCCTGACAATTTTGGGGCTTTACCAGACTTGAACCAGCTAGTCGTCAATCTTGGGCCATTTCAATTTAACCTTGTAAATTTTAAATTGAGTTTTAAGTGTTCGATTCTGCTTTCAGTGGGATCAGATATTTGAACGAAAGATCATCCTGACAGTTTCTACGAGAGAAATTTGTAAAAGTGTGACAATAAATAAACCTTTGGTTCATCTACAATAAGCATTTTGTTTCCTACCTGTTTCGTAAATAAAACAGGCTTAAGAAAAATAATAGATTTCTGCATCTCCTTCTGAGACGTAACATTAACGTTTAATTTATATTTATCCAATTGAAATATTTGTGGACTTTGAAAAATTTCATATTCGCCTGGAAAGGAACCTCTATTTTTAAACTGCGAGTCTGGAGCTCTGACCACTGGACTACCCATCTTTGTGAGAGATTTAAGCTAATTGTTCACTTAAGGTACGAGTTGAGAGCGAATTAAATTATTTGATTGTATTGTAACCAAATTTTGGTTGAAATTTAAAAATATTCAATCAAATAATTTTGATGGCCTAACCAAATGTTTGGTTAGGATAATTCTACGACTTTGTTTCAGCCAACCAAAATTTGGTTACAAGAACCAAAATTGCCTAACCAAACGATTTTGTTGCAAATATAAAATCTTTTTTTTTTACTATAATAAATATAGTCAATTCAAAGTAAAGCTTCAATGGGATAGGAAAAAAATCCAACTTTCGACTTTCGTTATATATGTATATATAATTAATTTAAAAATCTTAAAAACTGCAAAATTTCATTCACAAATCCTGAATCAATTCTAGTCTGGTGTGGAGCAATTTTCTAGTCTGTTTCCCACATCGTAATATTGGTAACAATTAGGAAACTTAACACCTTCAGAGATAGTTTACTTAACCGTTTCTGGGTGATACAGTTACAGAATGTATGCAAAAGACAAGAGCATCTTTGCATCCAAAGTTGAGTCGTTTCATCAGTTATTCATATATTATCCTTATGTACAGATCCTTATGCAGTAATACATAATCATTCTTTTTTATCTTTATAATATGCGTAGCTACTATTTATAAATAGTAAGAAAAAAGAAAATAATAAAAAACATTCAATGGCAAAGTTACAAAAACGAGAGTGGATTTTTGAAGAAAGTGAAATCTCGACAGAAAATGATATACTGATGAATTAAATGAAAAGTGATATGTTCAATCGTATTATAGTGTTTACATAGTGTTTTAACAATGACATATGAATTATTGGAGAACTTTTGATATCCGTTTATACAATTCATTTGTCAGGTAAATAATTCAATTATCGTGGTTGTCCCAGTTTTCGTCCATTTTAATTTTGAAGATAACATTTATAAAAAAAATTATTTTATTATTTTCTTTTCAACTAATAAGTCCATTTTATGGACAAAAAGAATAAAATATTGTTGAAAAATAATTCAAATTATTATACGAGATATTTGTAAAAATGAACGGCTACTGGGACAACGACGGTAAACAATTTGTAATAGTAAGTTTAAAAAAAATTAATTTTCTCAATTTATAGCATAACAAAAAAATTTTTAAAACTTTTAATTACTAGGTACATATAATTTTAAAATTTGTTTCCTTACGAAAAAAAATAATTACCTAGAATACTGAAAGGTTTCAAAAAATAACAAAAGTTTTAAATTATTTTAGTTAAATCATTTATCTAGATAATAGTGAAATTTTTCACTCAATAGTAAATTTTTTTTCCGTTCTGTTTTTTATAATCAAATAAATTAAATAATTAACTTAAATGATCAAAATATTAAATAATTTATTTATAAAATCTAATCTATAAACAAATTAACATGAAACTGAATTTTTTTTTCCAGGATGGAAACTCGATTTCTATGTCATTTCGCACTACTTTTAATTTCTGTGCATTGTGCAACTGCCGATGAAAGAGAATCGAAAGAAAATGAAAGGCAATTAAGAGAAGAAATCACGACACAATCTACTGCAGTAGTAGCAACGACTACATCATTCAGGTAAACGGTAAAACGCTATGTACAATGACATCAAACATTAATTGTGTAAATGATAATAAAATCATTATACTGCAACTCGTGCGAAAATGACTTTTCTGCAAATAAAATTTAATACTAAAATGAATTTAAAAAATTGCAAATTCTTAATTCAAAAATCTTTTTAGATCAACTAAATATTTTATAGTAATATTGGACCCAAAAGATGTAAAATTGCTGAATGCAATGTTTTATGGTTTTTTAGGGTCCTTAATGTAATACAAATGAAAATAGATGTTTTTTTGTTAGCAAAGCAAAATATTTGACTTAGTGTGCACTTAATACTATAAAATTAAATTTCTAAAATGCACAAACTTATATAAAAAAAATAGAATATAAATATATCTGTTGATAGTATCTATAAAAAAATTTATTAAATTTAACTTAAAATCATTTTTTCAAATACTAATATTTACTTAAATAATTAAATTTAAAAATTTTGATATATGCTCGAAAAAGGTACGTTTTTTTGGAACGAACTGGGCATATAGTGGATTAACCTAATTTGGGTACGCTGAATCCAGTGGCGTTAGCCGGTTTTCAAGATCGGGTCAAATTTTTGAAATATTCGCCATTTTGTTTTTTTCGAAATTTTCAAAATACTTCATTTTTTCTAATCAAAAAGCTTAAAATTGATTTGAAACTCTTTACTCGGGGGTTTTTGGGGTCGCTGATTACGAATCCAGGGTCAGTTTTTCAAAATTCAAAATGGCGGACTTTTTTTTAAAATCGTTCGGATTCGCTCGAAACTCTCGCTACTCAGGGGTTTTACCCTGAGTTTACCCCTGAGTAATGAATTTCATGTGAAACATTTGAATTGTTAATAAATTTATCCGCCATATTGGATCCGCCATTTTGAGTTTTGAAAAACTGACCCCGGATTCGAAATCAGCGACCCCGAAAACCCCCGAGTAACGAGTTTCAGACGAATACATTAGGTTTTTTCAAAATTCAACCGCCATATTGGATCCGCCATTTTGAATTTTGAAAAACTAACCCCGGATTCGTAATCAGCGACCTTAAAAACCCCAGTGTAACGAGTTTCAAGTCAATTTTATGCTTTTTGATTAGGAAAAATGCAGTATTTTGAAAATTGCAAAAAAAAAACAAAATGGCGAATATTTTAAAAATTTGACCCGATCTTGAAAAACTGCTAACGCCATTGGATTCAGCGTACCAAAATTAGGTAAATCCACTATATGCCCAGTTTTTTCATTTTTTGAACTAGCACAGTGTATTAGTTTCGATAGCTTTACTTGAAATTCCCCATAGTAAAAATAAAAAAAAAATAAAATAAATAGAAAACAAAAGAATAGATAAGAGGATTGAAAAAAAATTGAATTTTTTTTTTAAAAGTTAATTGTTGTACTTTACTTGGATAGGCATTCGCGATGGTATCGTTATGGTAATAGCTTCAAAGAAGCCGAACGTGGCTATCACAATGATGACGATGACCATCTTGATGATCACGACATGGATCATGAAATGGATGTGGAAATGGAGGATACAAAGGCCATGACACAGCCAAAATCAGATTATTGGGGTGGCTATTACGATTTTCTCATAAATGAGGGGAGTTACAAATTCTGGGCAGTTTTTCAGGTAAAATTTAAATTTTCTTTTTGAAAAAAAACTTATTAAAAATTAACATAATTTTACATAATTTCACACGCATCTGATAAAAATATATGCGCATAATATTAATAATTTATAGTTATTTAAAGAGCAAAAAAAAATTTTTGGAATTTAAAAGTTAAATAATCCTTTCAGAATATAAATTTTTTCCATTGTATTATATTTTGTATATAAGAAAAAAAAATAAAGTCGATAGTTTTTGTTAAAGAAAAACAAAAAGATTTAATGAAAAATACAATGTAACAAACATTAATGTCATTGTCGACAGCTTGCCACCGCTGCGCTGTTAATATACAGCGGCTTTGCAGCTCTTTATTACGCCAAGGTGAATCCAGCAACAACTCCCGACTACGAGGACTATTTCCTCAGGAGAAGACGAAGAAGAAGACGAAGAAGATCATTCGACCTTAGCCCTCGAGAAAGAACATTCTTAGGTCTTGGACCAGAGAAGGTTCAGCGAATACTAGACGCGATTGCGAAAGAAATTCACTAGATAAGAAATATATAATTATATATTATTTGCGTGAATTTTCTGAATTCTTGTCTTTTAAAAATTATTACATTATCAGAATTTTTTAAATTCCTTATATGTATATGAAATGACAATTCACTTAATAGTGAAAATTGAATCACTTATTTAACTAAAGTTCAAGTAACGTCAGTATAATATATATATATAATTACACTGTCCGACATTGATTTTGCCCCTGGTATAATTTTGATCACTTTCGATAGATTTTTTCATGCTGATTCCGAATCTGCCAAGAAAAATGCTCTAGCACGTCTAGTTTTTGAGAAAATTTGTGTTAAAAAGTCAAAAAAGCATGTTTTTGACTATCTTTGATTATGGATTAAAAAAACAAGACGTGATAGAATCTCATTCTTGGTTTCAAATAAAAAGATGGAATCTTAAAGAACAATTCCACCAAATGAAAATTTAAAGGCATTACGATAAAATGATTAAAAAACATTTTTTCATTTGCCCTCAATTTTGTCATTTGTCATTATTTATTTGCACCGTGTATAACCCTAACATTACGAACAAGTGATAAACAAATGAATGCATCACCATTCAAATTTAAAAAAAATTATACAATTTGCAGGTTACTTTTTAATTTAATTATAAATATTTATTTAATACATTTAATCTAGTTTTAAAAAAAATAATTAACAACCAATAATTATTAAATTAAAAAGTAACCTGAAAACCGTATAAATTTTTTTTTAATTTGAATAATACATTCATTTGTTTATCACTTGTTCGTAATGTTAGGGTTATACACGGTGCAAATAAATAATGACAAATGACAAAATTGAGGGCAAATGAAAAAATGTTTTTTAATCATTTTATCGTAATGCCTTTAAATTTTCATTTGGTGGAATTTTTCTTTAAGATTCCATCTTTCATTTGAAACCAAGAATGAGATTCTATCACGTCTTGTTTTTTTTTAATCCATAATCAAAGATAGTCAAAAACATGCTTTTTTGACTTTTTAACACTAATTTTCTCAAAAACTAGACGTGCTAGAGCATTTTTCTTGGAAGATTCGGAATCAGCGTGAAAATATCTATCGAAAATGATCAGTATTATCCCACCCAGATACCACGTAAGCTTGCAGCAACCTTGCGGGCGCAATATTGCCAACCTTGCATGTCAAGTTTGCCGCAAGCTTCAAATGTCCCACCTAACCCAAGCTTGAATGGTAAGCTTGCCGAAAGATTGCAGTTTAAGGTTACTGCAAGATTGCACAGTAAGATTATCGCAAGATTGCTCCGTAAGCTTGCACAGTAAGCTTGTCGCAAGATTGCTGCAAGGTTGCCAAATATCCTTGCCAATCAACACAGAAGGTTGCAGCAAACTTGCAGCAAGCTTGTCATGCAAGTTTTCTTGGCAACCTTATGGCAAGCTTGCGGAATATAACAAAAAAAATTTGGGGGGGGAGGAAATTTATTTTTTTACATACATTGAGCACTAGTTCCTGGGAGGTCAATAAAATTTACTGCGCAGCCGTAAGTGCTTATGACTGCAAGTGCGCATAGTCCTCATTTTCAATGCAAACTTCTCTACTGATTGGGCAAGGTTATTTGGCAACCATGCACCAACCTTGCAACAACCTTACACTGCAATCTTTCGGTAAGCTTACTATGCAATCTTGCGATAATCTTACTGTGCAATCTTGCAGTAACCTTACACTGCAATCTTTCGGCAAGCTTACCATTCAAGCTTGGTTTAGGTGGGACATTTGAAGCTTGCGGCAAACTTGCCATGCAAGGTTGGCAATATTGCGCGGCAAGCTTGCCGCAAGGTTGCTGCAAGCTTGCGGGCTATCTGGGCAGGGGCAGAAAAAAATCATTTTTGTCGTACAATGTTATCATACCAATCTTTTTTTTTTTAATAATATAAATGTACACGGAAAAAAAGAAGAAATAATTTGTACTACTTTCGGAGTAAAACGGGAACTGTCCGAAATTTCTGCGCATCTCTGGCAACTTTTATTCCAAAAATAGTAAAATTTACTCCAGAAATAGTAAAAATTACTACGGAAATAGTAAAATTTACTACAGAAATAGTCAATTTTACTATTTTTGGAGTAAAAGTTGACAGAGATGCGCAAAAACTTCGGACAGTTCCCGTTGTACTCTGAAAGTAGTAAAAATTACTTTTTCCTTTTTTTCCGTGTAAAAAATACACAGAGAGAAGATGAGCGTATAGTGAATTCTATTATTATGATAGCAGAATCTACTAAACAGAGTGGTTAATTTTGGACTGAATAAACTGTCAGTAAAATGAACTGAAAAATTTCTCTAAATTTGAATCAGTAAGATTTCACTGAAAAAAGAGTTGGAATTTAGCAACTAAATCACTTCAGAGTCAAACCACGTCAACCGTAAGTGAAATTTTTTTCGATTTTTGGAAAAATAAAAACAATTATGAAAATCTGTAGCTCACAACAAACCAAAAAAACACTTTCAACCGTTTATTAAAATTTAAAATTTTTATAACCTTTTTTTATAATAACAAATTTTTACATAATTTTTTTAAGAAATTAATAACTCTAAATTTATTTGATAAAAATTATTGGCAATTTTTTCGGTAGTCAATGAATATCCACTCTTTTAAATAAAATTGATTAAGAAACAAAATATTCGAAAATTTTTAATTTTTAATAACAATTTTATAAACAATTTGTATTTTTTATACTTTCTATAGCAAGGATTAGAATGAAATTTATATGCAACATACCTTAGACTATTGTCTTTACATTCCTGAAAAAACTTGATAAAAAATTTATAGTAGATATATAATAGTTGAACCAATTGAAATTTTTTTATTTTTTGTTTATTTCAGTATTTTGTCTCGCATTTGAAAAAAAACAGACTTAAAAATCATACCAAATTTTTTTCTTATTCCATATGACTCCCATAACAGAAATTCACTTGAATTTTTGATTTTTGTTAATTTGGTTAATAATGACAAGCAGTCCCCATTTACCCCAAAAATTTGAAAACTCAGGGTAAATGGGGACAGCTTGTCATTATTAACCAAATTGGCAATACTCAAAACCTCTTGCAGGTGATCTGAGGTTAAAATATTGACGTTGAACTTAATTTTAAAACTGTAAATTAAAATTTTTTTTCAGGAATGTAAAGACAATAGTCTAAGGTATGTTACATATAAATTTCATTCTAATCCTTGCTATAGAAAGTATAAAAAATACAAATTGTTTATAAAATTGTTATTAAAAATTAAAAATTTTTAAAAATTTTGTTTTACAATCAATTTTATTTTAAATAGTGGATATTCATTGACTACCGAAAAAATTGCCAATAATTTTTATTAAGCAAATTTTGAGTGATTAATTTTTTTAAAAAATGATGCAAAAATTTGTTATTATAAAAAAAGGTAATAAAAATTTAAAATTTTGAAAAACGGTTGAAAGAGTTTTTTTGGTTTGTTGTGAGATTTTTATAATTGTTTTTATTTTTCCAAAAATCGAAAAAAAAATTACTTACAGTTGACGTGGTTTGACTGTTCAGTAAGAGTTCCCCATGAAATTCAGTCATATTTCACTGAAAATTAGTGAAATTCTACTTTACTGATTGAAAAAGTCAAATCTGTTTTACCGATTAATGATAATGATTTAATTTTATCGAGTTGTGTTTAGTAAAATGTAAGGGAGCATTTAAACATCGAAAAATAATTACTTACCAAAACGAAATACACTAATCTGATTGGTTGTCCACTATTAAAAAAAAATTGTGGGCAACCAATCAGATTTGTGCATTTCGTTTCGATAAGTAATTATTATGGCGATTCAAACAGCTACACTAGCGCCACAGTTGAACTAATTTAGGCGTGACTCGCTCTGTAGCACTCCATGTGTTTTAAATTATTTTTTTTTATTTAACGCTTAAAAATAATTTTACAAACGCAATAAAAATATCAGAATAATTAAATAATTTGAAATAAACTGTCAAAACAGAGACTGCTTTAGAGCGAGTCACGCCTAAATTAGTTCAACTGTGGCGCTAGTGTAGCTGTTTGAATCGCCAATAAAGTTCTTCAGACTACGCTGTTTAGTAAAATATACTTCCTGAAGAAGAAAAATAATAAAAAACAAACAAACGAAAATTGGAAAAGAAATAATTTAAAAGTTTCAAGTACCTAATTTTTAAATTTATTTTCCACATGTTTTTTTAGTCATCTAAATAAATTTTTTTAAAAAATTTTTACTGCAATCTTTCTCATTTCAAAAAATGAAAAAAAATCCATACTTGGGAATTTAAAAGGAGCCCAATTCAATTGTAAATATTAAATTTTAGATAAAAATATATATTTTTAGACTTAAGTTTGTTAATTCAATATATGAATTTGTAATTTTAATAGAATTAAGATATTTACAATTTTTTATGTTTGGGGGAATTAATTTTAATTTTCTTCTGGTAAAATCTTTTACCCTGTAAAAATTGCTTAATTGTAGTGAATTTTAATTTTCATGTAAATTAAATGTAAATTTTATATTGATAATAAATATTAATTTAAATCCAATTAATATTAATAAATGTGATTTTAAAAAATACGAACAAACAAATAAAGTATCAATAAACTAATTAACATTTATTTTTTAGTTGATTTTCATTCCATTTATTAGAAATAGAATTTAAATGACTCTACATACCTATATTCATTTTGCATCAAAGGGATTAATAATAAATAAAGAATTTACATTAATTATTAACAACTTCATGCGGATATAATTTATATATAAATATTCATTGTTATAAAATTTATAAAAATACAAACTGTTTGGTTGAATGTTTTTTGTTGACATAACAAAAATGTTTGGTTAGCTTAATCAACAGTTTTTTTTGGTAAAATTAAAAATTTTATTCCACTTTATTTCTTTTCATTTTACCTTTTTTGTTATCAATTTAACTTTTAATTTAAATTTATCCAATTGAAATACATATTTGTGGACTTTGAAAATCTCA